TGCCAAAGTGCGCGTGAAAGTGTACACATGAATATCAAATTACTATATATTTACTAAGGATAATATTTCCGTAGTGCAGTTAAGGTTAATGTGTAAGTATGCTAACTAAAAAAAATACCAACACATACATGTTATAAGGATAACTATAACATTTTGAACACTTTCCAAGTGATCAAACAAATTTATCCACCAATACAAAATCATTCTTTATCAATTCCACGTTTTAAACCCTACTTCACCCTTTTTACAGCTCTAACCAAAAACCAAATTCCCACCACTAAAATTCTAGAAACAAAACCGAAAATAAAAACTTGGCCGTTGAAAGGGTCGAGCCACAATGTTGAAGAGGAGCGCTTACTTACGACCAAACATGTCTTGTTTTCTCATCGTCCTGTGAATAAAATAAACGCCGGTTAGTGCCAGCCAATGAGGAGGGCTCCTGGGCGTCGGCGCACCCGCCGTGGCACAACGCTCGATACAGTCTCGCATGCGCCGCCCTACCCTGCTCGAATTAACACGTTATTAGGGTTTTCTCCCTTTGGAAGCCTACTTTAGATCAACAATCGCCCGGACTTTCTCTTCGCGTTTTGGTTGCGCTTTTCCACTCACAATGCTTTCGGGTTTCATTCTTCGCTTTTAATTGTTGTGCTGGGGTTTGATTTTAATTTTTGAATGCGTGAAACACATGGGTAGGCTGTTTTGGTAAATTGTGTGCTGTTTGGAGCCACATTTTTGTATTCATTATTTACTTAATAGTATATAATTTAAAATAATTCATAATATTTGTAATTTAGTAACTGTTGACGGGTTTTGTTGGGTAAACTAGTATTTAATCATTTATGAAATGAACTAAGCAAAAATAAAACACACGCATTGGCAAGTAATAGTTCTTTATATTTACAGGAACATATGATAAAAAAATAATGATAAGCTATTAAAAGGGTTCTAAAATACTGCAACATCGAGAAACATCCCCCTTCACATAGGATTTAGTGCTGCAAGTAATATTTATGATTTATTTGTAGTTTTCAAAACAACAAATTCTTTTTTCTTCAAATATCCAGGAAATGGTTGCAAACCTACGGTTTAGGTAATAAAGATATAGACAAATAAGGAAATAAAATAACAAAAATCCATAGCTTTGTTGTCTTATTGTCAAACTGGATGGTATAAAATTTTACTACAGATCATATAGAAAGGAACAAATTATTCTTTGAAACGGTAAATGTTCCATGTTCCTGAAAGTTTAAAGAGTAAAAAATTAACACCACACAATGGGTTTTACACAACCCCAATAAGCACTAAAAATCTCAACGGTTACAATTTATTTTCAACACACGCAAAACGTAGATAACTACTTTGAATACAAACATAACCAACCCCCACTCTCGCTTGATCGCTAACCACCCTTCTAATGTTGGCGTCTTGTTAAACATCCCCTTTGTCGACCTCGTTATTTCTTAAAACACAAATTGAAAGGCATTAAAAGAAAATAGAGCAGTAACAGGGAGCGCGGGGGGAGAGTTGTAAGTAAAATGTAATCTGGGTTCTCGATCCGCGTAAAGAAGACATCCCCTTGGATTGAGCCCCCCCCCCCTCGACCCCTCTTGGCGTCTTGTACCACTTTATTTGACTCGCCCAATGCCCTCATTGTAAGTTAACCTCGGCTCACTGGCGCCCGGGATATATTTAACGCTTCTTACAAATTCGGCTTTGGTTGAAAAATGTCAAAAAGTGGATAATAATTTCGTCGTTTTTGAATCATTTGGTTAGTTAAGATTGCATAGAAATAATTTAAGGTTTTGAGGAGTCGATGTTTCAGTGTGTTAAATATTGAAGCGAGGTCATAAGTAAGAGCAGTTTTCAGCAAACTGCTAAGTAAATAAAGTCAAAACCCTTTTATTGGTAAACTAAAACTATTTAAAATACTAGGCTACTATTAAAAGTACTAGTAAGCTAGTATGTTATAACTCATTTATAGTGATGGCGATTCACATTTTATATATCCGATTCTGTAATGAGTAAATGCAAAGAGTAAAAACTGTTTAAAATAAAGAGAAGATAATCACACTCTCAACACTTTTACTTGTAAACACGAAGCATATTATAATTATCACAATGTAATATCTTATATTCCAAAATCTGTAGTTACTTGTAATATTTTATGATAATAGAACAATTGTTACAGTATTGTTGTTACAAAAAGGAGGTTTAATAACTAAACGAGCAACGAGTCCGTCCTACCCGGTCGAGTATGGTTACGTATAGAGAAAACATAATATGATAATTTTCTCGTGGTAAATGTATTTGATATATTCGACTTTGAATACAGCAGGATGACTTCTTAATGCTTGTTACATAACGTTATAACCAATGTGTAGAGCACAAAACGTAAAATCTACACTAAAAAATGAGGGAATTCTTTAGTTGACTTTAGCAATCAAAGGCCTCTAACAAAAACACGTGTTTAGTACTATTTCTAATTGATACATTGAGTTTTCCCAAAGAGTGTTTATACAGTGATAGTCCAATTTAGGTCTCGGGAGTGACTGGCAACATTCTAAGTCCTTCGGTCAACAAAGGACAATCGCAGATCCTTCAAGGGTCCTTCAGGCGGTCCTCAAACTAGCCAGATTATCCTGGGAGAACTCAACATTCCAAACAAGATATTTCAGTTTTTAAGTTTTATACATTTTCACCCAAAATTACATTTACATTATAAATATTTATGAGTTATTTTTCAACACGTAACCAATATTGACAAGAGTTGAACAAATTTTGGTTTGACAGAGAAACGCATAGAATACTTGCGAATTTTAAAGTGCGAGACAATTACGCTAACTTGTTTTTAAAAAAAGTAAACGAATAAATAACTATTATAGTACATCATGCTAGTTTTAAATATTGAGTTACTGAATCATAAAATATATGTTTCTTAGCTTTTTGTATGTTATAAATTTTAAAATTGACTACTGTATTTGAAAAAAAGTGCCTTGGATTTTGTTGTATCAGTAAAAAAGATCTTCTTTAAATCAATTCGGGAACTTTGAAAGCTGATTCGAATGAATTTCAAATGAAGTATGGGAGGATTGATTTTATACCAAATATTTCAAGGCAGGTTAGTTGAGGGAATGTTGAGAGGTTTCACTTATGCACTGCTGGAGTTAAGTTCAATTTTCCGTGAAGATCCCATTGGGGCTACTGAGTATGTAACATTCACCTAGTTTATGTTGTTCTGCTCTACAAGATATGGCACACCTATGTTTACTAATCCTAGTAACTGCTTAACCTACCTGTACGATGTATACTTAAGGAAAGATTTTCCTAAGATTTAGATATCTTCCTCCTTTTTAGGAGGAGAAAAATACTGCTCGTCTGGATGTTCATGCTTTTCTACTACTACTGATTGTACTACTACAGAATGTATTTTGTTTGTGTACTTACTACATGAGTTCTGTTTCATCTTCTGGCTCAAGAGTTTCCATTTATTATTTATTATGTTACATTTATTAATGTTTACGTTTTATACATATTCTCTCGATAAAGATTTTGTTTGGTTATTTTCTGTCAAGACTATTAATACTTCTCTATTATTACTGAAACGTATGGTGGATAGTAAAATTATCTGCCGCTAGAGTTTTCGCTCTAGCTCAGCTCTAGATTGTATCTAACTGCACATGCACAGCCCACAAAGCTGTCAATGTTTATTCTACTCATATATCAAGTTAAAGCTCTAAAAAAACTTGTGCCGACACTTTATCAAACTTATCCATAATATTATTCATTATTCCCGGGGATTACGTGAAATGCTGCTCTGTACGTAATGGCTAAAGGGCAGTTATACTACATGTATTCTGTTTTCTGGAAGATCCATCTTAAGGTGCAGCTCCTCTTAACTGAAGATGTTTTTATACAATATTCCTCTACTGTATTGACTTCGTGTTGCATATGCGCTACTAATCATGCTGTTATACTTATTAGTATTAGTTTCAGTTGGTCTAACCGGTATCTTGTGTTCTGGAAGATAAATCTTCATTTGCAGGTACAAGATAGTAGTATATACAACGTTTATAATACTGCGTTGTCTCTGTTCAACCCAGTCTCTACTGGACATGCAGATCTTCTTTAGGTTGAAGCATAACTTACAAGCGCATCATGTCTAATGGAAAATCCTAATTCTATCTCATTGACCCTTTGCAGAAAAATTAATTTCCTTTTACTTTGTTATACCAAGGCTCTAATTAACATATATGTCTACACCTATTGCATTCAGTGAGTCTCGCCTGTGTCCTTTCCTGGAAGATCTATATTTAAGCTCATCAACTCATAGCAGTAATTTTCACCTACTTCGTTCTACCACGGCTCTAACTAGCATACATCTTTATGTCTATTGTCAGTCTTACCTTTATCCTGTCTTCTGGAAGATCTATCTTTAAGCTCATCAACTCTAAGCAGTAATTTCCATCTACTTTGTTCTACCAAGGCTCTAACTAACATACACCTCTACGTCTATTGTCTTCAGTCAGTCTTACCTGTATCCTGTCTTCTGGAAGCTATCTTTAAGCTCATCAACACTTGATGAAGAAGAAATTTTCACCTACTTCGTACTACCAAGGCTTTAATTAACATAAATCCTCAACGTTCGTCTATTTTCATCGGTCGGTCTTACCTGTATCCTGTCTTCTGGAAGATCTATCTTGTTCATCAACTCTTAGCAGTCATTTTCATCTACTTTGTTCTACCAATGCTCTAACTAACATATATATCTACGTCTATAGTCTTCAGTCAGTCTTACCTGTATCCTGTCTTCTCGAAGATCTATCTTGCTCATCAACTCACACATCTCAACGTCTATTGTCTTCAGTCAGTCTTACCTGTATCCTGTCTTTCGGAAAATCTATCTTGCTCATCAACTCTTAGCAGTCATTTTCATCTACTTTGTTCTACCAAGGCTCTAACTAACATACATCTCTACGTCTATTGTCATCAGTCGGTCTTACCTGTATCCTGTCTTCTGGAAGATCCGTCTTGAGGCTCAGCATCTCCCTGGCGTAGACGTCCGGGTAGTGCGCCTCCTTGAACGCCTTCTCCAGCTCCTCCAGCTGGTAACTCGTAAAGATCGTCCTGGAACAAAACATCGAACTATCTGTTCCACATAATCATCCCGACAACCCGGCACTTATAGATAGTATGGCAATAGGTACTTGTTGATTAAGGAGAACCCAGTTAAAAGATGAACTAAAAAAATTTGATTATGGTTGATTGACCATTGACAGAGTTCTTCTTAATTAACAAGTACCTACAAATATTTTATAGTTAGCTCAATATTGGAGTTTCTACACATATTGCAAAGCTTACTAATGATCACTGAAACACAATTAATAATTTACAATCAAACAGTAAAAACAATAATGTCATGCACAAACACCCTCAACTTTAAAGGATAACATTCATTAATAAAGACTTATAAAGTCTTTGAGTTATAAAGTTTTAGACAAAGCATTTTTTGTAACAATGATGAAGGAACTTAAATCTATGAACAGTATTGCCCTGCAGGTATAGTTTTGTTAGATTTATTTGAATTAATCGTTTCATCTAAAATCAAGTTATCTAAAATGAGATCTACGGGTCACTTGTAGTATAATCTGTGAATAAAAACATTTGGAAAGCTTATAAACCACCCAGCCTAGTTAAAAATACTGACGATTAGGTTACGTAATATTGTCAATTAAATAAAAAAAGTCATGATAATGACCGAACTAAATGACAAACTAATTCATTTAATGCGTTTAAATTAATCACCCCAGTTATTTGGCAGCAATGAAAATTTAAATAGATATTCCAATTATCGAAAACGTTTTAATTGAATAAATACTCATCCAATTTTAATTATCTTAAGCTCATTTGATATCATCATGTCATTATTTCAGAACAGCAATTCACTAAATAATTCAAATTAATTTGTGTCCAAGGGTCAGTTACTAATTACAAAAGTATTACCACAATTATTTAAAATAATAACGTGGTTTATTTAAAGTTTATTGCCAGCAAAAGGGATTGTTTGAAACAATTTATGAAATCCAATAAACGCAAAACACAGCTGATCACAGGCAAATCTCATCAATATGACCTTTGACCTCAGAGTCATAGTAACGCCAGTCGCTGTCTATCCGTCTACCGCGGCACTGTAAATAGTTTTACTCTTTTATGCATGGTTTTAGGTTTGAAAACAGTAACGACGTGTTTGTGTTTTTATGTGGTATGTATTGGTGCGAGTGCGTACACGTGTTTGCGTATAATATTATCAAAAAGTGTTCAACTTTTATACCAAACGAATTGACAAAGAAATTTAAATGGACCAGTTGTGGCCGTTGCATCGAAAGATGTATCTTATCACTAGGATGTACAAGGTAATATTATGTAGTTGTTCAAATAATTTAGGACTACATTTCCTGGGTGTAAAATGATAAATATGTTGAAAAATTCACGATTGGGTATTTTGTAAATGGGGTATGGTTTTCTAGTTGAGTCTATTGCTTACCTAATATAGCCTTTACGTCGTTATTTTCCTAATTTCACATACACAATTTTAGCACACAAATAACAGCATCAGGTAAAGCCATTCTATACACTAAGGCGGAAAATTACATAACTTAAATGCAAGTTAAGTTAAATAAAGGGTGCGCCAAAATAACCTGACGGTTTTTAATACTAAATAACTCAAGAACAAACTACAATTTCATGTATTAAATAACGTTATATTGTACACACTACTATGCCATTTTCATTTATGAAAAATTATATCACTCAGTTTATATCGCCTTCTGCTTAAAACAGGCATCCCATTTTTTTGCATATTTGCAGTCACCTTCGCCTGATGAATAGAAGCAATCTCTTCCCTGATACACTGCTTGAGTTCAGGGATGGTTTAAAATTTCGAAACAAACATTTTGCTTATAATAGAGAGCTAATCGCTTAAATATAAACTTTCAAGCTTAAATACTTGTTACTGTCATTTTAAATGTTATAAAACAAGGAAAATCTCATTAGGGACTATTTGCAAAATATTTTATATTTTAAATGAATGTTTTTACTTTTATTTTTATAAAAGAAGATGACAGAAAGATGTTTGCTACATTATTTTTTTATAATTCTCTGATGTAACTTAAAATCTAAAGTTTTGAGGCAGTGACTGACTTACCTATGCCTCCTTTTCTTCTTCTTTTTGCCACCGAAGGGAACAAGAGCCGAGTCAGAACTAAACTCTTTCCCATCTTGTTGTAAGTGACCCATGCCTGAAACACCAATATAAATTAATATCATAGAAAATAAATTAATCTCTAGTATGTTAAATAATAAGAGAATATTGTAGATCAAATGACGGCTACACAATGTAAAGGGTGGAGTACGTCTGGTTTTTCTAGTGTACAACTACAGTATACTTATTGCATATACAGGATTTTTTGGGCATAATCTTGGAGCACCATATATTACAGTAAGCCCTTATCGATAATTACAAACTAATGGATAGTAAACATGCAGTTATGACTGTATCATGGGATGACCTAATCAATATTTTAACAGGAATTAAATTAAAATTTGCAACTACAATTTGTCAGTAAACCATAATTTTGAAGACATTGAACGTAAAGTTCCAAAATTCATGGTTTGTGGCAATAAAATACATAGGAAGAAAACTATGTAAATTTTAATCAAATAATGAATGTATATAAAATATTACAAAGATCTTAGTCATGGCAATAAACTTTGAATCATCACATTTAGTTTGTGGGATGGAATAATAATTTAATTCAACGTAGTTTTTGTGAGTTTCAACTACGTATAAAATCATATACAGTACCTTTATGAAAATCCATTATCTTAGTATTTATTAAAGTTGCTGTTTCCAAACAAATGGTTATTCGAGGTATCGACCAAAGATATACAAAACCCAATGTTAATGGATAAAAATCAATCGCTAACCACAAATTTTATCCTTTTCTGCTCATAATTAAATTTTCAGCCTGGTGAGCCAGTTTCCCCCCTTCCCAGTAATGTTAAGGCTACACCCCCTCCCCCCTCTTTCGCCCTACAAGACACAATATTTATCGGAGAAGTATCCAGTGGGAAGGGGGTATTTTACGACGGGTTCTTGGCTCTCGAAGGCGTGCATTTTTAAAGTGGCGTCTCCCAGTCCGGGCGCTTTGGCAGTATCATGAGCGGACCTTTCTTGTTCTTCCTGCGATATTTCAGAATCTTGAATGTCGAATTTTAATTTTTAAGTTCGGCTTGACATAGATATAAATAACTGTTAAGATGGTCGAGTGTTGATCCGTTAAAAACCCTAAAATAGGTGTAAGTAGTGGAAGCTTTTATAGAATTATTGGTAACCGATCCTTTTAAAAAATTCTACTTATTCTTATCAGAAATTTACTTTCATTGTGGGTATTGGTTATACTTTTACAAATAACCATACCAGGAGTTAAACCGTTCCACTACAACAATCAACTGAAAATGTGCCAAAATGTCTAACGGATAAAAGTAACAGGGATATTACAAATAAAGCCATGATAATAATAAGCCAATAAAAACAGTAATCGATAATAAGAGACTTATTTTACCAAATTAATGCAATATGAAGACAGTTTTTACGTAATTTGGCATAAATGTGTAGGCTGGGATAAACTAGAATGAGTTTGCGAACCAGCATTAATAGGAGTTTTGAATTTGTTCAAAATATTTTTTTTATTGTTACCCTTAAATCGTGGAAATACAAATTTTTGTTCCAGCCAACATATGGAACTTTATTAGTATATTAATGCATTGGTGTACGAGCACGATAAATATTACGGATGAAATTAATTTAAACAATCTGGATATATTTAAAAATTTCATGATATACTTAGGGAGAAAAATCTAACTGTTGTAGTTTGCATGTTTTTGCATATATTTTGAACAAGTTGGCCATTTTTTTCATTTCATACTATAACTATTAGGCCTAACACTAAGAAATAGTTATTTGTGCAACTAGTGAGAAAAGTGGGCAATTGACTCACTCGAGAGAAATCCTTCCTCACGAGCCGTAGGCGAGTGAGGAATGGTTTCTCGAGTGAGGCAATTTTACTTTGAACTCGAGTTGCACATTATACTTTTCCTACAGTTACCATAAAACAAATAAATTGGTGAAGAAACATAACCTATTTTTACACAGAAGTGAACTTTTAATATAACATTGTGAAGTGACAAATACAACAGTACAACAGCTGACCAGCTGATTTACAGCCAGTGCTGCCAACGTATTTCGCGCGCATACGACGTTGCCTGCATGTTACGTGCTCACTATTTCGTGCCTTCACGTTGCAAATCTGGAGTGAGACAAAGTAATTAGAGTGAGACAATGTTAACATTGTCTCACTGATGAGCAAATTGGCCACTTTGCTTTCTCAAATCAGTGAGAGAACATGTACATTGTTAGGTAACTGTAGGAAAACTCCTTTTACTTCCCTATAGCAGCAAACCTAAGTATTCGTTTAACCTAATGTGATTTAAATAGGGGAAAACCTGACATGTTTAAGCAAATATTTTGAGTGAAAATCCAATCAAAGGAAATTAGCATGCAGGTTTGCTGCGGCGTAGGTATCTTCAATTAATTAATGAAGCCCTTGAAAAATAGTCAGGCAAAGTATGGTAAAATTGATAACGACTATCAAATTTTATTTTGATTGGTGGTTCTAAAAAAACGTAGCTGGTCAGTGATATTCTACAACAATCCTTTCATAATTTATTTAACACTCTAGACTACTCATCTTAGTATTCCAAGTAGTAGGGGTAGTACCATTCTCATCCTAATACGCCAGCATCTTGTAATCTGATCTACTGTCATGGTTAAAAACCCGTAACATGATGTTCAATTTACAACACAGTATAAGTTTGTATTGTGATTATTTAAAATTTAAGACATCACTCCGGAGAGTGAAGTGAGAGATCTGGAAACATCGGGAGCTCACAGAACTCAAAACTCGTCCTGATACAGCCGGTCCCCGGAGGACCTCAGGAGCTATTTTATATTTATAAGCTCGGTTACAACGTTCGCCCAGTCTTGCCTTTACAGCTGTCTTTTACAGTTCTTTGTCTCTACTGAAAATATCCGTCGACGGACTGCTTAATATTTACCTCAACTTTGGATCACCCTCACTCCACGGTATAATTGAGTATTATTATACCGATTTTTAGTTTCAGGAATTACTTCACTGTTGTCGAGTTACACATTTACATTATAGGAGTTTTCTAAGATTTAGTTCCCTTATCTAACAGTGATATTTTGTTGGATTCTGATATCACCATTAGTAGATAGCGTAATGATAAAAACTGCATTTACGTCCAGAATCGATCTAGATTGAAAACTAACCAACGAACTTCAGATTTGAAGGCGAGCACTATACCACTCCACTACTCACATTTATTATTTGACCAAACAAACAAAAAACAGCTATAACAATAGTATTTTAACATGTACCGGTAGTACATCAAGATGTTACATTATGCTAATTAATTGTTAATTTATGCTAATAATGATTACTATAATGTTTTAAACCATATGATGATACCATATAATTAGACAATGCGGAAATCGACTCCTCCATAAGTATCAACTAGAGGTATTCCAGAGGTCGAAAACTCGACCAAAAGTATGTAGTTTACAGACTTCTCTATTTCCACCCTACGTTGTAAATAAAACATGTTATTGGATTTTTTTCCGATTGTTTGATTTTCTGTTTATATTTCGCTGTTATTTCGTCACCAGCATAAAACATGTTATTGGATTTTTTTCCGATTGTTTTGATTTTCTGTTTATATTTCGCTGTTATTTCGTCACCGGCAACTCATAAAGGCTCATGTTTTTTATAAGAATTTTAAATCCATTTTCTTTGCTTATTTTTGAGCCTATTTTAATTTATAAATGGATTCTGCACATACACAGGAAAATATCTTCCTAACAGTATGCGTATATTTTCCCTGTGATGGACACGATCTGAGATAAAAGGTTTTTAAAAATCATGTTTCCCTATTAATATTGAAATTCTAATTGAGTCTTCCAACCCTATTGAGTTTAGGAAACAAAATACAGTTCTTACATTATCAACTTGAGAGAGAGGGCAACGTGCAATTTATGACGTAGTTGATCAAAAACACGTTGCCTAGGAAACTTTTTGTCAGCTTGGCGGGATCTGATTAAACACAGCACAGTTAGGGGGGAATAGGGGGATTCGTTAGGGGAACTAGGGGGCTAGTTGCTCACTACCATGAGCTCACTACCAAACAATATGCAGATGTGGTGAAGAATGCGAGGTTATTTTACGAGCGATAAACGTTTCCCGCATTTCCCTATTCATTTCCCCGCCCAATCCCGCTATTAATCTATCTGAGTAATTGAGTCGAGTTTTAATTAAACTAGTCATTTATAATGCATATTTAAGCGGTTAAGCATTTTTAGCGTTTAAATGGAACCGGGAATTATCAAATTACGTATAATGAGGTCCGCGCCATTAAAACGATGTTCGTTAAAAGTTTTGTGTCACTTATTAGTGTTTAGCGAATAATGAGTTTTAATCAACAGCCCCTGTTGGTGACTCATGTTTCCAAATTGATTGTTAAAACTTTAATCTTGGTCCTGATTATAAATTATTGCATGGAAAAACTAGAAATCTTTAGAAGCTTAACTTTTATGTTTGTAATTTCCTATACACGACTACAATCAACAATGACTCGCTAAAAGATTGATTCACAATAATGGAATATGTGAAAAATAATGTACAGATGAATCATCCACATGTGATGTTAGCTGTTATCTGTTGCAACTTGTTTTAGGGGTAGCACCACAGCTATCAAAGACTTATCATGTTCACGACATACGGTTAAGAATTAAAAGGATCCAAGGAAATCCTATATGAAGGAGGACAAATACTGTACAATATTATTTTTACTGTGCACATCTACACCAGTGATATTTATAACATATCTGTAGAAAGCATAAATAATTTATAGGCAAATGGCATCTGCGTCAAATAATTTCGCTTGGAATCGAACCAGCGACCTTTGGACTTGAAGGCAAGCATTATAACCACTCATCTACTCAGTCAATGAATACATCATTGATCATCACTAAAACGTAATAAAACTTAAACAGCTTTTAACGATATCTATCCAACAGCTGTATTGATGATTGGTTATAATTTGCTTTTGGATGGTCTTAATTTTCATCAACCAATTGACCAAATATTTTTAAACGTAACTT